GAATTCCATCGGCGCAATCGCTTGCGGTGGGCTAGAGTCCGGAACTGGAACCTTAGAAACTAGAGGCGAGTATGGTTCCGTGATGAATCACGGTATCTTCTTCACCTACGAGATGGAAGACAGCGTGATTACCGTCGAAGAAATGAAGTTTTTGCCCCTAATTGCATTCGACAGGTCGACAGATTCGGTGGTGGAAGGGTTACAGTGTGGGATGCGATATTCAGCACACAAAAATCTGATTTGGTGGTGGTTCAGGGATGCGTGATTAAAGCCCATGTGTATATTTTCCAATAACTTTATATTTCCACCCGGTTTGTCAATAAAAACGTAAGCATAAGATGTGTACACATACGCAAATAAAATGAAAGAATGCATGTTTATATTATTCAAAATCATGCGTGTTTTCTTTTATTTTGCTGGAATATAAGCAGGGTTTTATTCACTATAAGACACGTAGCAGACTCGGATATAATAAATGTACTTGTAACGGGTTTGGGGTGGGGGAACGTGGTCGTAAGGATATGTTATGGTCCCATCCCAACCGTCAGTTTCCAACATATATGTAAAACGGATCGATTTAAAGAAAATTCTAACAAATAAATAAAGTCAATGAAAATCTTTACTCGCTGTTGTTGTTGTTATTTCTTCACATGTTACAATGGCAATCTAAGGATAGGCAAACTGCAAGACGTAATTAAACTTTGCTAGTTTAACGGCTTGTCCGGTTCAGAATATTATGTAATATTTCTACAACTTCTAGATTTTTAATTCCACAAGAATAATAATTGTGCGCAGTGGCCAAGCCAAGAATGCAGCACCGTAATTATTATAAATTCTTATATAATAATGCCTATGCAATTGTGAAATTTCCTAAAAATTATCTCTGTCCAAAAAGTCTACAATTTACGCTGAGCCTGTTATGTCTCAAACTGCTTTAGAACGAGAGTATGCTATATGTGACGTCATCCTACTTCCGGTAATGCATGAAGCAGAAGACTCCGAACGGTTGAGCGAGAAGAATGCAATCTAACTTCAATAAGACGTGACATTAAACTAAACGGATATAGTCTACCTAATACCGCCTCCAGGAACATGTCTGCGTAAGTAGTTTTTAATATGAATTTATATTTTAGTAGATTCAATGTATAAAACAATCTCTGAATCAACAACACATGTTTTGATGACGTAATCGCCTGGAGATCGCGGGACAATTCGAGCCTATCTCTCGAACGAATCACAACTGTTAAACCTTACGAAAGTAAATTAATTTGAACTTGTAACTACAAAATACGTTGTTTGTACATACAAGACGTGTATATGATCAGAAGTAATCTTGTCTCAAGTAGTTATTTAACATGAACACGATCTCGGAAACGTGATAAAAAATACATACCGATCGTTTACGCCCTGACTATTACAGTAATCTCTTCCCTATCAGTAAAATTACTGAAGCTGTCAAAAAAGTTATGGTGTGTAATTCATTGTGTGACAGTGTTTCCATTGTGTGTGACAGTGTTTCTATTAACATGCAGAAGGGGACAGTGTTATCCATTGTGTAACAGTGTTTCCTGTGTATTACATTGTTTCATTAACATGCAGAAAGGGACAGTGTCATTCATTGTGTGACAGTGTTTCCTGTGTATCTGTTGACATTGTTATCCATTGTTAACATGTTGACAGAAAGGGACAGTGTCATTCATTGTGTGTATTACATTGTGTTGACATGCAGAAGGGGACAGTGTTATCCTGTGTAACATGTGTATTACATGTTTCTATTAACATGCAGAAGGGGACAGTGTTATCCATTGTGTGACAGTGTTTCCTGTGTCTTACATTGTTTATATTAACATGCAGAAAGAACAGTGTCATTCATTGTGTAACAGTGTTTCCTGTGTATTACATTGTTTCTATTAACATGCAGAAAGGGACAGTGTCATTCATTGTGTGACAGTGTTTCCTGTGTATTACATTGTTTCTATTAACATGCAGAAAGGGACAGTGTCATTCATTGTGTGACAGTGTTTCCTGTGTATTACATTGTTTCTATTAACATGCAGAAAGGGGACAGTGTTTCCATTCATTGTGTAACAGTGTTTCCTGTGTATTACATTGTTTCTATTAACATGCAGAAAGGGACAGTGTCATTCATTGTGTAACAGTGTTTCCTGTGTATTACATTGTTTCTATTAACATGCAGAAAGGGACAGTGTCATTCATTGTGTAACAGTGTTTCCTGTGTATTACATTGTTTCCTTTCTATTAACATGCAGAAAGGGACAGTGTTCATTCATTGTGTGACAGTGTTTCCTGTGTATTACATTGTTTCTATTAACATGCAGAAAGGGACAGTGTCATTCATTGTGTGACAGTGTTCCCTGTGTATTACATTGTTTCTATTAACATGCAGAAAGGGACAGTGTCATTCATTGTGTGACAGTGTTTCCTGTGTATTACATTGTTTCTATTAACATGCAGAAAGGGACAGTGTTATCCATTGTGTAACAGTGTTTCCTGTGTATTACATTGTTTCTGTTGACATGCAGTAGGGGACAGTGTTATCCATTGTGTAACAGTGTTTCCTGTGTATTACATTGTTTCTGTTGACATGCAGTAGGGGACAGTGTTATCCATTGTGTAACAGTGTTCCCTGTGTTTTACATTTTTTTCTGTTGACATTCAGTAGGGGACACTGTTCTCCATTTTGTAACATTGTTTCCTGTGTATTACATTTTTTCTGTTGACATTCAGTAGGGGACAGTGTTATACATTTTTTTCTGTTGACATTCAGTAGGGCAAAGTGTTATCCATTGTGTAACAGTGTTTCCTGTGTATTACATTGTTTCTTTTGACATGCAGTAGGGGACAGTGTTATCCATCGTGTAACAGTGTTCCCTGTGTATTATATTGTTTCTGTCGACATGCAGTAGGAGATAGTGTTATCCATTGTGTAACAGTGTTTCCTGTGTATTACACTGATTCTGTTGACATCCAGTAGGGGACAGTGTTATCCATCGTGTAACAGTGTTTCCTGTGTATTACATTGTTTCTATTAACATGCAGAAAGGGACAGTGTCATTCATTGTGTGACAGTGTTTCCTGTGTATTTCATTGTTTCTATTAACATGCAGAAGGGGACAGTGTTATCCATTGTGTAACAGTGTTTCCTGTGTATTACATTGTTTCTGTCGACATGCAGAAGGGGACAGTGTTATCCATTGTGTAACAGTGTTTCCTATGTATTACATTGTTTCTGTTGACATCCAGTAGGGGACAGTGTTATCCATTGTGTGACAGTGTTTCCTGTGTATTACATTGTTTCTATTAACATGCAGAAAGGGACAGTGTCATTCATTGTGTGACAGTGTTCCCTGTGTATTACATTGTTTCTATTAACATGCAGAAAGGGACAGTGTCATTCATTGTGTAACAGTGTTTCCTGTGTATTACATTGTTTCTATTAACATGCAGAAAGGGACAGTGTCATTCATTGTGTGACAGTGTTCCCTGTGTATTACATTGTTTCTATTAACATGCAGAAAGGGACAGTGTCATTCATTGTGTAACAGTGTTTCCTGTGTATTACATTGTTTCTATTAACATGCAGAAAGGGACAGTGTCATTCATTGTGTGACAGTGTTTCCTGTGTATTACATTGTTTCTATTAACATGCAGAAAGGGACAGTGTCATTCATTGTGTGACAGTGTTTCCTGTGTATTACATTGTTTCTATTAACATGCAGAAAGGGACAGTGTTATCCATTGTGTAACAGTGTTTCCTGTGTATTACATTGTTTCTATTAACATGCAGAAAGGGACAGTGTTATCCATTGTGTAACAGTGTTTCCTGTGTATTACATTGTTTCTGTTGACATGCAGTAGGGGACAGTGTTATCCATTGTGTAACAGTGTTTCCTGTGTATTACATTGTTTCTGTTTACATGCAGAAGGGGACAGTGTTATCCATTGTGTAACAGTGTTTCCTATGTATTACATTGTTTCTGTTGGCATCCAGTAGGGGACAGTGTTATCCATTGTGTAACAGTGTTTCCTGTGTATTACATTGTTTCTGTCGACATGCGGTAGGGGTCAGTGTTATCCATTGTGTAACAGTGTTCCCTGTGTTTTACATTTTTTTCTGTTGACATTCAGTAGGGGACACTGTTCTCCATTTTGTAACATTGTTTCCTGTGTATTACATTTTTTCTGTTGACATTCAGTAGGGGACAGTGTTATACATTTTTTTCTGTTGACATTCAGTAGGGCACAGTGTTATCCATTGTGTAACAGTGTTTCCTGTGTATTACATTGTTTCTTTTGACATGCAGTAGGGGACAGTGTTATCCATCGTGTAACAGTGTTCCCTGTGTATTATATTGTTTCTGTCGACATGCAGTAGGAGATAGTGTTATCCATTGTGTAACAGTGTTTCCTGTGTATTACACTGATTCTGTTGACATCCAGTAGGGGACAGTGTTATCCATCGTGTAACAGTGTTCCCTGTGTATTACATTGTTTCTGTCGACATGCAGTAGGAGACAGTGTTATCCATTGTGTAACAGTGTTTCCTGTGTATTACATTGTTTCTGTTGACATCAAGTAGGGCACAGTGTTATCCATTGTGTAACAGTGTTTCCTGTGTATTACATTGTGTCTGGTGACATTAAGTAGGGGACAGTGTTATTCATTGTGTAACAGTGTTTCAAGTCTGTTGGCATGCAGTAGGGGATAATGTGATACTATATTTCTACTGAGAGTTCTAGAGGATACTGCAATGTACTACATTGTGCCACATGGGCACCAACCTAACATATCGTGGAAAGGTGCAGAACATTTACATTATTTGTAAGGGGTGCGTAATGTGTGAGTCGTCACACATTACGTCTAACGTCACAAAAAGATCAGCTGAGGTATGGTAGGTACAATATCTGATGTCAGGAATGTACAAGTTTGGATGCTTCAAGTTTCTTTGTAGCCTTTCATAAACGACACAAGTTCAGTCGTGCATAACAAAGTTTAATTGCAGAAAACCGATAAAAGTGATTATAACATGTCAGTGCATAGTTCATGATCTAAAGGTTCTAAATATGTCTAAAGAAATATTACGTCAGTGGAAAGAAGTCTCTGAGGAAGAACAGTATCTCCTGGTGAAGAGGATTGGTCAGACTACCCCCGATGACAGATCGCAGCACACTCCAGTGCAATTTGCATATCATGTGACCAACCTTTTCCCATGTTTGTAAACAAATGCACTCTTTCTGAAATCAGAACATACAGGCCAAATCTGAGCCTTTCGGTGTTGTGTTGCATTATCATCTCATAGGTATACAACTACAAGTGATGTCACTTGCTTGATAACGGTCTTAGTACCTACACCAATTACGTCGCAGTCATCGCAATAAAGAAGTTGACTATCCATAGAACTTGGTTTTCCTTGTTCTATACAACTTCTAAAATGCCTCTCAAAGAAGTTAACTACAAGTGTGACAGTGAAGTGCATGGCAACATAAACTGACATATGGAAGTGACCGTATTGCTAGCTCTCGTTTGGGACATCAATGGCAGCAAGTGGAACCATACGACAAATGTAAACAAAGGATAATTATGCAAAAAAGAAATAGTGTATCATGTTGAAATAATGTGTGTGTGTGCGTGCGTGCGCGCGCGCGAGAGAGACGAAGAGGGCCAGCTGCATTCCATTCTCTTTATCCAGTGGAGACTATTACAGGTATTGTAGTCATTCAGTCAACGTGAACTTCGTCGTGGAGTGTATATTTCAGATAGAAGGCATCAATTACAGTACAGCCAAGGTAGATTAATAGACACCAAATTGTATGTGTATGTACGTATGTGTGTGCGAGTGTGTGAGGGTGAGAGAGAGAGGGGTGGCTTGGTGGTCTGTCATAGATTAGATAAATAGAATAATATGTATGAAGTTCTTGTTATGAATCGGCTCATTGCGAGTAGAAAGACGACATGACACGAAGCCTTCCGGACTACGGCTTTATCTATAACACGATAGCAAGGATCACAGTACCCATTAAGTGCTGGGTGAAAAGGGACGCATTGTAATTAGCCACTTTCAAAAGAAGACATCTTTTTTCACAATAACTTAATATGATGGTGATTTCTATATGAAATCATAGCTGCAAGTATCATTCTGTCATTGATCTGGTCCACAATGTTGTCTTTGTCAAGTATAGATAAGCCGTGGTCTGTGATGGGTAATGGAGAACCCCTCTATAATAATTTAAGACCTCCACAATTTTGTCTTTGTCAAGTATAGATAAGCCGTGGGCAGTGATGGGTAATGGAGGACCTCTCTATAATAATTCTAAAATATTCTGAACATCAGAGTTTTAAAGCACAATACAAAATATTTTTTGTGAAAATTTCATAAAGTATGAAAGAAAAGCCACATTCTACAACTTGCATCTAAGATCGTATCAAATATTATCAAATATATCAAAGCGGAAAGCGTTTATATCTTGGTAGTGTTGGTGACATCGATCAAAATTTCATCAGTTTGTCCCGGCCAAAGTTTGGTATGGTCTTGTTCAAAGGGTCCTTCGTATTCTCTTCAGAAATCAGAGAACAATCCTGGAAAATAAACATAAGTGTGATTGATTTATATTGTCTAACCTAAAAATGAGGAGACCTAAACACCTCTTATCCTACATCATCTCAGAAACTAAATTTTCTAAATCTTTGTCAATACTGGGGTCTACCTTTCGACCCGATAGAAAAAGTCTATTGATGGGAACTGTAGGTTTAAGCGCAACTGAAAACAATATAATTAAAATTTACAAAATATTTCATCATTTGATTCCAGTCCATCGTTAAGCCACTTACACATACACTTCCTTCCGTCTCAATTTATCTTTGAATATGGATTCCAGATAGAACACCTCAGCTGAATCCTATTGAACATTCTACAAAGATTCAACAAGAAAGAAAGTGGACTACCCTAAAACTTACTGGCAATGTTTCATGCCTTGGTCCTAAATAACTATTCATCAACCAACGAATAAGAGCAATATTGTCGAGGGAGTCATCTTTTATTGGACAAATGAGCATCTGTTTCTATACTGTATTAATATACAGAATGCTAGAATATGGAACCTGTAAGGATTAGTCGTGCTGCTTCTAATACCATCGCTGTCTCCACCCTTTGAGGTGTCTGGCAAGAATTCTTGAAACGCGGAGAAGATATTTTGTGTTGCCCAGCGGGATTTGTGCTGTAGAATAATGTCACCCACATTGGGCAGTGCAAACATGTACTTCTCTCTTCCTCAGAAACCCCGTATTGGGCGGTGGAAAAGTACCTCCTCTGCCTCAGAAACCCCACATTTGGGCAGAGAAAACATGTGCTCCCTCTCTTCCTCAGAAACCCCACATGGGTAATGCGAACCATACTTCCTCAGAGTAAAGAAGAATCGTTTGTGACAATTGCAGCTCATGTATATTAATTCTTTTAATAATGCCTACAGGTGATAATCAAGGCCATCTGTCAAACTATCAGTAAGTACCTGACTGGGTCCACTCATCTCGATTCCGGAGCTGGTCGGGTTGGTAGTACTGCTCTGTGATGTCAGTTCCACACCCATCGTTGATGTGCCTTCAGTGAGGTCTCCACGGTCGCTTGTAAAGTCTACAACAGCATTGACAGTATTGATGGACATGATCCTTGAAACCGACCTATCAGTTTATAGGTCTGCATTATCAATTTATAGGTCGACACCCCCTCTCAAAAGCATTACGATCTGAGTGACCTGAGAGGTCTGAATCCATACTCGCCATGACTTGGTGTCGGGGCTTTTCATTAGCTTACAGCTGCAATGTGAGATGTTCGCGAGAGAGACAGAGGGAGAGAGAGAGAGCGAGAGAGAAAGAGAGAGAGGAGGGAGAGAGAGATTGAATTCCACACATTTGCCTGCGTCAGGTTTTTCATGTTAAATACACAATGTTCTATTTATCAAATGTATATTAGTTCTTCCGTTTGCCAGTGCACAATTCGTGGAAATGTAAAATGTGTCTGCACAATTGAATCGATAATCTGTTCCAGGTTTTCCTGTTTTTCGTGATGTTTTCAACAGTAAGGTGCGTCACTTCAACATGTACCTTATAAACAATCTCACCTGAGATTTTGTCGGACCTTGTTTGCTTACTTCTGTCCTTGCTCTGAAAAAGTAAGGTGAAAGGGGTTTAAACCTTCTTCCGCTCGCATATAGGAAGACTGTCTGTCAGCCTGTGCTCCACTCCACTCAAGGCAGATTATCTACCCTCCAGATGAGTGAGTGAGTATGATTTTACGCCGCATTTAGCAGTATTCCAGCAATATCACCACGGAGACACCAGAAATGAGCTTCGTACATTGTCTCCCTTGTGGGGACCGAACGCTTTAACCACGAGGCTACTCCACCAGCCCTCTCTATATCACAGACATGACCACTCTCACGAATACACAGCTGACAAAGAAATATCATAATCAAAATCTCTGACATTGCATGAATTTGGAGTGAGTGACCTTTACACCGCTTTTAGCAATATTCCAGCAATATCATGGCGAGGACACCAAAAATTGATTCCCATGTGGGCAATCGAACCGGGTTCGGCGTGACAAGCGATGCGCTTGGTCTGAAATTGATAGTGTGGAACAGTGAATGGCGACTAACTGTGTCATAATGCGAATAAACGAGTTAAAACCTTTACCATTAAAATACTTCATTACACATTACTGAGAATACTGTCAAACAATTGTACCCACCTCAAAGGACTCATACATCTGGGATATGTAGCGCAGCATAACCGTTCTCAATCCAGCAAGAATCTGAAACATTAAACTTACAATTTCACCTGACGAAGGGGCAAGGAATAGCCCAGAGACGTTGTGTATACAATAAAGAAGAAGTTGACATCCATAACATTTTGTCCTATACTTGAAAACCAACTTCTACATGCCTCTCCAGAACCTAAAATTGCATATGTGGAAATTTATTACAAATCACAACTTTATTACATTAGGAAGAAACCATTTCCCAAGACTTAGTGAGAGTGATTGAAGATTGAGGTAGAGGGTTACTTATTCAAGTCTCCAAAGCGGCTATAAATATCCCAGGGATATCCCACAGATCCCTGTAACCTAAGGGCCATAACTCTGCACGGCGATTTATATGCCCTTTGGTCAAAGCTGCACATGGTTGTGTGGATGTTGGTTGACGATGCTGCTACCGATATGAATAACAACATATAATGTTCACTATGTCCACGACGAATAGCATCCATCTGCACCATCCAATACACATGTGAAACATAATCACCACCCAGTCACCACTGGCGCTGCAGCGGTGGGCGAGCGTGTGGTCCCGAGTCGTATGCCGTCATGGAATCTCAGGAACTACACATACTATGTTTTGAGTAATTGAGTAGGGTGAAAAGTCGCATTAAGAGTACTTTAGTTACATCAGGGTACGGACGGGAAAACCCACGGTGATGCAGGGCCTAGAAGCTGCTGAACACTGCTTGTGCTGTACTTGGATACCTTAGCGTCTTTTTCCAAGATGGCTACGCATCCGGTCACGGTCTTCCCTAAACCGGAAGTGCCGCCTACTTGGAAAACGACGCCAGGATAACGAGGTACAGTTACTGCTGAGAAGTCACTATCGAGGCCAACTTTGGATTCAAACCCATAACTAATCAATACTACTATGCTACCCCATAGCAACTAGTTAATGTTGATGTCACTCACCTTAGTGTTCAAAATGCAGTGCATCACAAAAATCAGGAAACCCTGAAACACAAACATTCCGATTTAATTGTGCAGAAATACTTAAGATTGCTTTAGAATATGCACTGGCAAACAGAGCATTGTCCTTTTAACATGAAAAACATGAACACTTTAAAAATATGTGGTTTTCAATTAATCACAGCTTGTATTCATATTCAAATGTGACCCATTTAGACACAGTCGTGCAGAACCGGGTTCGACATGGCCTTCAAAAACCCATGCTTCGTAAGGGACTGCTAACGGGATCGGGTGGTCAGGCTTGCTCACTTGGTAGATGCACGTCATCGTAGCCAATTACGTAGATCGTAGTCACTGGATTGTCTGGTCGATACTTGATTATTGACAAACCGCCATCATATAGTTGGAAACTTGTTGAGTGTATCGTTGAACACAAAGAAACAGTGTACCAAACAAAGTTTGTATAGCCTTCACCTTGGAAAGAGAGTATATTTCGATCAAGTTGATTCATATTTCATGTACATCTGGTGTTGTGGATAAGCGTTTCCGGTTTCCAAAACTCTACCCATGGCAGTAGTATACACCACAGAACATGGTGTTCGTTGTTTATGATTTACGATTGAATCTGTTTTGCTCTTTCTTGTAAATTGAAACGAACATTCTCGAATACCTGTGACCTTGGCCAAAGCTTAAAGCTTGCATATGAACCAGTGACCTTGACACACACTTTTCACGTATTTTGTAAATGTGTTACTTGACTTTTAATAGGTTATATTCATATGTCAAAACAAATAAATTCTGCGGCCTGTAGTGTATTACGGAGAGGTCAAATTCATTTTCGACTTTGGCTCTTTTCCGAATGCATGCTTTGAAATAATAATATTTTTCGCATGCTACTATTTTCATACATGTTGACTTGAAGGGCGTTACCTGCGACGAATTGAAGATTGCAAAGAGGTATTGAAAGACGACTGTGTCTTCGTTGAATGCCAGAATACCAAACACCCACGTGACTCCGAGAACAGGCATCAGAACACAGAGGCTCCGAAAACTTATCCTAAAAGTCAAAGAACGAGATTTCACGAGATTTGCCCATGTGTATGTGACAGTGAGCAATGGAATGTTCCTGAAAGGCAGAACTTTAACAGTTGTTTGCAAAAAGAAGTAAACGGCATCGTCACAATCCTCTCCTTGTCAAGCAGCAAATCGTATTACATGTAATATAACTTTGATTTGCAATATTACTAGGGTCGTGAATGTCTAAATGTATGTAGCTAATATACTATTTAAAAATAGAAACGCGTAACCGAGATATCGGTTGCGAAAATGTTGTATTTTTAAACAATGTATAACTCGTCCACAAATAGACTTTAGTTCATGCATTTTTGCAGAAGTTTAGAGGAAGGGAATGTCTATACAACCACGTGGACAATATTAGATAACGGAGACATAAAGCGCGATGGTGACGACGTAACACTGTCCCGACGTCGGGTCTCCTGGCCCTCAGTCCAATCTCTCTCAACCTGTTCCGTACTGTTTGACCAGACACCCTCCGAAGTCCAGGCACCCTGGCTGCTGTGCTCTCACCCGTGGCAGTAAGATCACGCAAATGTAGTACCCGGATGTACCGATCTTGGCCTACAGTGGTGACTCGAGGTCATTTCTTATACCTGTTTGGTTGTAACGAGCTGCAAGCCGTGATATCGTGCTCAGACAAACATTCAGACGCCTGGCAACAGAAGATTGGTAATCTCCAGCGTGCATTCTTTCAATGACGATGTTCCGTTTTGCAGCGTCGAGGCGTGGTGTAGTGATTTGACCTTGAAACTCCTTCAAAACGAATGCCGATTTCCGAAAGTAATCTGGATTTTTATAGCCAGACAGTGCATGCTCTTTGCAGCACAATTTCAACTGGAGGGTGATTTATGTTGCGTTGTATGAAATCTCATCAAAATCAACATTTTCAGGTTTTTCACTTGTGCAATTGTGTAAAATCATGTTATCAACACTTTTGTTACATATGTCGATGATTGTTTGAACACAGTAGGTAATTATGCGTTTCTTTTTTGGGATAGTATATTAAATTGATGATATTGAACAAATGTTTCCTTGGTTTCTTTCTACAACAATAATCTGTTCCCATTAAAACATACTTTGTACAATGGTGTCACAGTTAAATTTGAATGTTGAATGTTGAATGATCTAAAAATTGATGAGTTGTTGGCTCAAAAATAATTGTGTGGTTCTGGTTACCCTTTTCGCTATACTTTATTGGTGTACCCTGAACATAATGTACATTCCTCTGTCCAGTACTTTAGGGAAATAAACGGACATCCAAAAGAAACTTTACGAATACTTGGAGAAACTAGAGGAAAAAAGCACAGTTTACACGTTGAAATATACACATGGGTCTAGCCTTCTCTTGTTGTAAGAGTATATCTACATGGTCATTATGTGATCCATAAATGTTTATCTACTCGTGGAATGTCTATGAATTATATCCACATCAATAATATAATTTAGAGTAACTTGAAGGAGCCCTATCACTCTAGTCATTTGCAATGTTTCAAATGGAGTGACCTCCAAACCGGCAGTTATATGCACACGTGCGCCCACGCACGCACCCGCACACACACACACACGCATACAAAAAGATCTATTAACTACGTTTATAATTAACATGTATTGAAAGGAACAAACGGATATAACGCACATACCACTTCCTATATATCATAATCGAAATGCGTATTACAAAATACACTTTGCGTTCCCTTTGAGTTTACTATGCTTGTATATATTATGACCTCATCATCAACTTGCTACGACATGGGGCCAGCTACAAATTTAACTCATCGGATTGTAATAAAATTGATAAGAATGATGGTAAAAGGACATTAAAATGTCCGTATTGTTGGTATCGGGCAAATACACTTACATGAACCTCTCTCTGTTTCCTTTACTGATCATCATTTTGGTTGAAAACAGCACCCGCATGATGACGACGATAAGCACGGTGTTAGCCTGTATGAATTGACAATGTTCGGATAGTTAGTCGACAGGAAATAGTGGCCGAAATAGCCTCATCACCTACAATTACCAAGACAGCCTCTCCGCCTCTGGAGACTAACTTTTACTACTACTCCTTGCCAACTGTAACGAATATTATAGTACAACCATATGATCCTTTATATTCACAGGTGTACATTTCACATTTGTTATGGGAGTGTGTTTTTGTCAGTTAAGATGTCACATTGATTAACTTTTCATTATTATGAGTCACAAAAAAGTTTAAAGCGCTGAGTTTGATTTGAACTCGCGTCTTGCTTAGGCTATGTGACTCCGCCTGTTGAAAGTGGGCTGAGGAAGTGCGCTTAGAGTTCTGTTCCTTAGTTGATGTAAGTTTGCTTAGTCTGTTTTCGGTGGGATCGAGAAGCGTTTCGATCTTTGTTTTCTGCCGTCGTTTCAGCTGGATTTGTCCAGAACTGTATTATGGATATGTGGATATATAACCGGTCGTTTCTTAGGTGATCGACACACGACTCTGAGGACTGATGTGGATTTACGATCATCTGTCTGTCTGCTAACATCGTCTCACCTCGTCAACTCAATCTTGAATCAGTACATCGACAAGAATGAAGACTGTGGTAACTATAAACATTTAGTCAGTATTTTCGATTTGTGACCCGATATTTTACATTTGGGACTCCATAGTATTGTATTAGAAACCTGAGTCCACAGTCATTCATTGTAACCTTGCTCATTGTTTATTGTTTATTCAATATATTATTGAATATTTTAGACTTGTCTGTGTTCTGTTTTGCTGGTTCAAAGGGGACTCACAAACCTTTTGTTTTGTCATGGCAAATTCTTAACCGTAACACACTCAAAGATGGAAACATAAGTATTTTACCTCATAACAAATAGTTCATTGCAGTAACCTTTGAGCATTGTCAGGTCGTAAAGATCAAATAAAGTCATTATCAATTATCACGATCAAAGGTCAGAATCTAAAATATCGATAAACTAAAGACAAAATCCCAGAAAAAATATGTTGAGCCCCACTATTAACAACACAAGTTCCATATTTGATTCCTTTTTTTTTAATGTGTAAGTGAATTCAATATGGTAGCTGTGAAGACCACTACTGGTTTTCAATGATTCGGCCATGACAGCTAAATAGTAGGAATCTTTAAATTCAGCATGTCCAAAATATCATGATAGGTAACAACATTTGCACAAATTCATTTCGCATTTTGATGGCATTACAAGTATGACGAAGAGGGCTGGTCCAGCAAGGGCGTACAGAACCCCATCCTCCACCGTCAACCAGCAGCTGAAACAACACAACCATATATTTAACACTTACTACATGTGTCACAACTTTTATACATTTTATTCATTTCACGGGGTTATGGATCCGTTCAGGCGAAAGATTAAAACATACAGTCAAATCCCGATGAGTCGAATGCCGGTGTCTCGAATATTATGCATAACTCGAAGTACCTGTCGGTCCCGACCATTCCCTGTTATAGTTGTCATCATTTGAATTCCGGTTACACGAATTCGTCTCATAAATACACACGATGACTCGAGAAGGAAATTTGGTCCCATGAGATTCAAACAACAGCAATCTTGTATACATAAGCCGAAGTCAGTCAATGACAAGTTGATTGGTGTAGCAAACTGATCCAATTAACAAACCAGCGCGGCTCACACCTTTCCGCCATTGACGGGTGAGTTCAAAAGGCAAATTAGTGATTTTACGGACTGGAACTGATAAGCTGCCCCTATTAGTGATATGGAAATCATTAGATAAACAAATGCTTAGGCGGAGGAATTAGGACTGGATCATCTTTTTTTCTACCCTCATAGACATACCTATGTCTCGAATACATCGATAAGTCAAATTTATTACTTGGTCCCCAGCGATTCGACTCATCGGGATTTGACTGTATTTATAACTGATGTTAACTAGTCCTACTTACTACTGGTCATTTCCATATCCCTCCAGCTTGGTGACCCCCAGGGTAATACCGACTATAACTGCCGGCACACCTGTTAGGACGACATTTAGTGATTAAAAGACATGTTTCGTACACTGATTGAAGCGCATTTCAGACATAACAGAAATGTCAGTACTAATTATATGGAAATGCTGACGTGATGCTGGTCGTGATGTAATCGACCCGTGAAGATCCGGATTAGAATCGGTCTTCAGCAACCCACAATTGTCGTTAGAGGCGACTAACGGGATGGTCAGGCCCGCTGACTTGACTTCGTTTACAACCGCCAACGTATCCCAAATACGTAGAACGATGTTCATGTTGTTAACCCCTGATTGCAGACCGAAACATGAGTCTCATTAACCTATTCAGACAATGACCTACTTTTGAGCCGATCCGAATTTTCTCGTGTGAAAGTGAAAAGAGACACCACAAACAACTATGGTTATACTGAATTCCAATTCCTTGTGTCACCAGAAAAAATAGTATTTACAAATGAATTTTAATTTCAAATTTTAATAACATCGTATTTTCATATTTTATGGTGAGGTGTAGGCAGCATGACCTTAACTGAGACGTCACAGACTGCCCCTGTTTGATGAGGTCGTAAAATAATTCACAATTCATCTGGCTCTCTGGTTACACCTGTCATGTGTTCTTTGCGCTTATTCAGTGTAGTTTTGTAACGCACAATGTGATTGATATAATATCCGTACCAGACCGCCAAAGTTTTCTAGAGGCAGACCCTAGTTTTGAGATTTCCACGATTTCCAGATATCGTTTGTCAGGTCGTCCTGACCTAAAACAACAGGGAAAACAACAGCATAGCTGACCTACATTGACGAACGTTGACCTTTATGACCCAACACTGCCGCTGTCACAGGTCATTGGCTCCCTCCCTCTGCAAGCCGTCTGCGTTCTGCTGTTTATTTTGTTGACAAATACATAGACAGATTCTTTAATACAAATGCATAACATCGGTGATTTACAATGTGATTAGGTTGTCTGACAAAACATCCACTTGCACAGTTTGAGATCGATTGGGTCATTGGATGAAGAGATATTTACAAAAAACCGGGTCCACATGCATTTCATGCCAAACTATAATAAATGTTTTGACTTGCTCGTCCAGACTCGATTATTTACAGTCCGCTGGCATATAGCTGTAATATTGTTGAGTGCGGCCATATATTCCAGCTATATGGCGGCGGTCTGCTAATAATCATATAATAATTGACGTGTCAACCAAGTCAGCGAGCCTGACCACCCGATCCCTGGGTTGCTCAAGACCAGTTCTAACCGGGATCTTCACGGGTATCGTCCGGTTTGACTTTACCCTGGGGCTGATGAATCAACCAGTAAAGTTTCCAAGCAATTGGTTGGTTTCTGTCTGTGTGTCATGAAGTTGAGTCTATCACTCAAAGAAGCTATTGTCCTCAAAGCTATTACGGATGAACTGCTAATTGCGCTTGCTCGACATTCGTTTTTGATTGATGTTTTCTGTTGTTAGACGGCAGATGTCGTCTCCAATCCTTCATGATAAATACCCCAGACTCGCTAAAATTCTAAAATCGCTCCCTCAGTCAGTTTCAAGACCTTTACGGTAGTGCATACCATATAGTGAGTGAGTGAGTTGACGTGTCAACCAAGTCAGCGAGCCTCCCGCGACAAGCATGGGTTACTGAAGACCATTTCTAACCCGGATCTTCACGGGGAGCATACCATATAGTATTTTATACCAGAAAAGATAACACAAATAATATCCTAATGTTTGACAGCATGTCAAATATAAACATGAAACACTATAATTAGCTCAAATTAAATTCTTCAAAGGCATTTAGAAGTTGGTGTAGTAATACAAGACAAATCTTATGGATAACAACTCCTTGGTTTATTTTTCACAACGTTTCTGGGCTTGTTCTTGCCCCTTCTTCAGGTGAATAATGGTGATAGTGAACATTACAGTATATATATAGATGTACAGGAAGCCAGATATGTAAATTGAGTATATACAACGGAAAAAGGAGGTATAATTAAGTATGTACAAACAAGGGGTTTGGTCCATCACCCAGAAATCATAGACTCTCAAACACATCTGCTTTAACCACTCTGCTATGTGAACACACCCATGCCCTTATTGTAAAACATACCCTATGATTGTATTCTGCTCTTTGATCTCACTGCATTGTTTGTACATACCTAGCTATACCTCCTTTTTCCCTTGTATATACTCCATTTACATATCTGGCTTCCTCTACATCTATATATACACTTGGTAATCAAGGTTTTATTACCCCAGGATAGAGCGAGGACAACCTCCAGTCTTGAACTCCTCCTTGACACAGTTACTACCTGTCTGGCCATGTCAATCCCCTGGGCAAACATCAGACAGAAGATGGCCAGGAACAAGTAGTGCAAAATGGCCGCCACTGCAGTACACACGGCCTGGAAGCAGAGGAGAAGAAAGACGAGACAATATTTCATGATAACACTTGTGAAAATCTGCTGAAAATTACACAAATTTAAAATAATGATAATAAGGATTATATGTTTTCGTCCGGGTTAAGTCAGGTACCCGTGAGTGTCAATATGACATATCTCTTACCATGCCAAAGACAACATAACATCAATACCGGTATGACCACTATTTGTGTTGAAACGTTACCTTGTTTTCCGTTCTCTCCACGCCAGCCAGGAAGACGATGTAGGCCAATGTCAACGCAACACAAAGGTTCACCAGGATGACGGACTTAGTAGAGCGAACACTCCTGTATAACGATGCGATTGAGAGCAAGATGTTATCGCATTGAAGTGATTACCTGAATATGCTAGCATAAATCTGCGCGATGAGACCTACGTGGGCAAGACTAACGTACTCCCCATTTGAATTTATTAGGCAATTAAAGGTATGCTAAAAAAACAGGACTTCTCGTTTGTTTCACTGGTACATCATGGTCTGCCACAACGTTGTGTCCTGCAGCAACAGTATGTTGACGTAGGGTCGTGTCAAGGTCTGCCAGAACGTTGTGGCTTGTAGTAACAGTTTCTTGACGTAGGGTCGTGTTAAGGAAGTAGCTGTCATCTCTGTCAGTGGTAGATCAAGGTCTGCTAGAACGTGGTGTCTTACAGTAACAGTTTCTTGACGTAGGGTAGTGTTAAGGAAGTAGCTGTCATCTCTGTCAGTGGTAGATCAAGGTATGCCATAACGTTGTGTCCTGTATTAACAGTATGTTCCCATAGGGTCGTGTTAAGGAATCAGTTGTCATCTCTGTCAGAGGTACATCAAAGTCTGCCAGAACGTTGTGTCTTGCAGTAACAGTTTCTTGACGTAGGGTCGTGTTAAGGAAGTAGCTGTCATTTCTGTCAGTGGTAGATCAAGGTATGCCATAACGTTGTGTCCTGTATTAACAGCATGTTCCCGTAGGGTCGTGTTAAGGAAGCAGCTGTTATCTCTGTCAGTGGTAGATCATGGTCTGGCAAAATGTGGTGTCCTGTAGTAAAGGTATGTTCCCGTAGGGTCGTGTTAAGGAAGTAGCTGTCATCTCTGTCAGTGGTAGATCATGGTCTGCCATAAAGTGGTGTTTTGCAGCAACAGTATGTTGACGTAGGGTCGTGTCAAGGTCTGTTAAAACGTTGTGTCTTGCAGCAACAGTATGTGGACGTAGGGTCGTGTTAAAGAAGTAGCTGTCATCTCTGTCAGTGGTAGATCACGGTCTGCCATAAAGTGGTGTCTTGCAGCAACAGTATGTTGACGTAGAGTCGTGTCAAGGTCTGTCAAAACGTTGTGTCCTGCAGCAACAGTATGTTGACGTAGGGTCGTGTTAAGGAAGTAGCTGTCATCTCTGTCAGTGGTAGAATATGGTCTGCCATAAAGTGGTGTCTTGCAGCAACAGTATGTTCCCGTAGTGACGTGTTAAGGGAGTAGCTGCCATCTCTGTCATAAGTTGGCTGGTTATGTCAAAGAATTACCTGTACTCCCGCAAAGAACATTTCTGCATGGTTTTATCTTCTTAACATAGGGTCGTGTTAAGGAAGTAGCTGTCATCTTTGTCAGTGGTAGATCAAGGTCTGCCAGAATGTTGTGTCTTGCAGTAACAGTTTCTTGACGTAGGGTCGTGTTAAGGAAGTAGCTGTCATCTCTGTCAGTGGTAGATCATGGTCTGCTAGAATGTTGTGTCTTGCAGCAACAGTATGTTCCCATAGGGTCGTGTTAAGGAAGCAGCTGTCATCTCTGTCAGTGGTAGATCATGGTCTGCCACAACGTTGTGTCTTGCAGTAACAGTATGTTGACGTAGGGTCATGTCAAGGTCTGTCAAAGCGTGGTATCTTGCAGTGACAGTATGTTGACGTAGGGTCGTGTTAAGGAAGCAGCTGTCATCTCTGTCACTGGTAGATCAAGGTCTGCCAGAACGTGGTGTCCTGTAGTAACAGTATGTTCCCGTAGGGTAGTGTTAAGGGAGTAGCTGCCATCTCTGTCATAAGTTGGCTGGTTATGTCAAAGAAATACCTGTACTCCCGCAAAGAATATTTCTGCATGGTCTTATCTTCTTAACATAATTGGTTTAAAAATATTTTCGGGTAATACCCAACTATTGATGCTTTAAAATTTAAACAATATAATTTCGCGGCAAAATTCATTTCGATCTACTGTCGTCACTGGACCAGTATATTTTTACAAAATATGACCCCACCAAAATTACCTTTTTACAACCTGTTATATGTGACGGTTGAATACGCATAATTATACCTTACAACAGTTTCTGAATTTTTAGTTGTATAAAGCACACATATACTTTCTGTTACTCCCTATAATATACTGGAACACAGCGCCCCTACCTCCACAAACACGCGTGTGTCAGTACTGTCACCAAGCAGCCCAGGATAGACAAGGAACAGCCGACTATGGAGATGATCTTCAGGAGTCGCAGGTTTTCGTCAGACTGAATGTCAAATAATTATATTTATAGTGTCTTTATGGTTGGTCTTCTAGTAGTGTTGACCCCTATTTGATGTTTCTAGCTGTATTTTGTTCAACTCATTTGATAACTGAAGTCACTTTCGTTCTATTATAGTTTCATAAAACTACTGTGACGTTACACAATGTTTACAAAGTGGGGACAAATCACATGATAGTGAATATTACATGGGTTTTGTCATCTCTGAATACTTTGCTGGGATTCGAACCCTTACATGTCGCATAGCGTTTCACGTTTGATTGAGGACATAATTTGGGGTCTTTTCCAAAAGTACGTATTGAGAGGCGCCGGTAAACCGATTATCTGCCAAAAATGTAATACCTTAGACTGCGGCGTAAAATAATATCAAATATTAACAGTGAGTTATATGTAAGAGTGATCGTTTTACCACGACTCGTGTTGGACTCATCAGAATAGCGAAGTTAGTCAAGTGATCACAATCACATCTTGAGAAGGAACTGTTTATGTGACTTCTCTTGCACCCATCCGTCTTCCAGGAACTGAAACACCAAACATCACTCCAATCACATGTGGGAATTGGGGGATCTATTTTTGTTGTTGCTTGGCTCATGGCTCTTCCGATTATCAGAAGGGCTAAACATGGCGATAAGGTTTATTGCACTTCTAGAACGGTCGCGTATGGCAAGATGTTTACACATTTATTAAAGAATTACTTATATCTTCAATAGCTTTAGATATATCTGTATTGTATTTCAGGATATCTGAAATGTCTTTAGGATATCAATGATTAATCGAAGAGGCCTTCAATGATTTATCTTCAAAGTGGAATTGTTGATATTTTAAAATGTTACTGAGAGACCAAAAATATTTCGTCATATCTCCAACTGTGTTTAAGACAAAAATAGATCGATAAAATATTATGTAATCATATTAGAAACTATTATTATTTCAAGCCATTTTAAATTGAATTCAAAAGATATCCTGAAATATATTTTATATAATTATGCACCAACGCATTTTTATACTTTCATACATACGCACTATATATTCTACAAATTCGTTGAAGATTCTTTAATTCAATTCAAAATATCTTCAATTTAATACGAGGTATCTCTAAAACAGCTTTCTAAATATCAGTGATTTCGAAATAAATGAGAAAATAGCTTGCCATACGCGTGTGCGTGTTTGTGTTTTCACCCTAGTCAGAACTATCCCCGGTTCCTTAATGCTGGACCATTCAGATACCATGTGGCAGTTAAACATTGATGCTCAAACACTTTAAAATGACTCCGAGTAGACCAGTCCTCGTCTTATCCCGGTAATGCAGAGTGTCAGGCTCGGTAACAATAAGTACCAGCCGGGAAACACCCGCATTCCCCTCCCCGGGGAGACGAATCCCCATTTCAGTTGATTTTAAATTATATCCGTGAAGATACGAGTTACAACTGGTCTTCAGCAACCCACCCTTGTTGCAAGAGGGATCGGGTGGCCAGGCTTGCAGATTGGCTGAAGCTTGTCATCTTATCCAGCTTGTGTAAATCGATGCTACTGATGTTAATCAGTGGATTAACTGGCCCAGATTCGATGATGTACAGATACCGTCATATAGGTGGAATATTTCTGAGTGCGGCATAAAAGGATAACCAAACCAAACAGTCCTCCTTTACGAACTGTGAATCCAACATTTCACTATACGAACTGAAAGGTGAAAGAACACTACTGTTTCTTTTATCTTCAGTGTATTTGAAACTATGCTGACGAGACTGGCGACTTTTAAAGAACAATCTTATTTTTTACCCTTTATCAAAGTTCCAATATCCACATTCTAGTTCTGCATCGTCGACCTGAAAATAGTATTAAAGAGGAAATACTACACACACACACCATGCACTGACTAACCAAAAACATAGCACTAAATCATAATCAACTTTGGCAACAAAACCCATTATTCCAGCTAAGAGGGGTGTCGATATTAGACAACATATGGAACCGCCTTGCACTTTTACTGAACATTAACTTTGACGTTAAAAAGACTAAACGTTCTATTTTTCGTAGGAAATGTAAAAATTGGAGACTGGGTTCATGAAGATTTTAGCAAAATCAAAAGAATATGATGGCCTGGCACCGCCGAAATAATAGTCAACCAGTCTAACCATGCTGAGAGTCAAACTCGGGAGGAACGATTAGCTCAACCGTTAAATGGGTTAGCAAATGTTTTTTTACGCCGCTTTTGGCAATATTTCAGCAATATCACGGCAGGGGACACCAAAAAGGGCCAATGTGAGGATTCGAACCCGGGTCTTCGGTGTGACGATCGAACGCTCGCACCACCCGGCTAACCCGCCGTCCTCAATAATCAAGACACGACCGATATAAATTCAATAATAGATATTACCCGATGGGGTTAAGCTGCTAAAGAGTTCGCTCTTCACGGCGAAGACGTGGCTATTGCCAAATATAGTGACACACAATACTATACTCAGCAGAGACTTTGCTTAAATCAGTATGAAGCAGGACATCCATATCAAAATTGCAAAATGTGTACACAATGTAAAATATATCACTCACCTGTTCATGGTAGAAAGTAAGCGTTACATCCATGTTAAGCTTTGCAAGTCGTTTACCGCCAGCGTGGACAGCAAGTGATAGAATCTTAGATCGTGTCTCTTTCTGTGTTGACTTGTCATCTCTAATGTGAACAAAAACATCATTACATGTTTTGTGAGATGTTTTAACTCCAAGAAGCCAATACCTCTATCATCTCACATTACATCAGCGATCTGTAAATATCATAGTTTCACCCTGGATATCCAGCCTAGGCCTCTATCATCTCACATTACATCAGCGATCTGTAAATATCATAGTTTCACCCTGCATACCCAGCCTAGGCCTCTATCATCTCACATTACATCAGCGGTCGGTGAAGATCATAGTATCACCCTGGATACTCAGCCTAGGCCTCTATCATCTCACATTACATCAGCGGTCGGTGAAGATCATAGTTTCACCCTGGACATCCAGCCTAGGCCTCTATCATCTTACATTACATCAGCGATCTGTAAATATCATAGTTTCACCCTGGATATCCAGCCTCGGCCTCTATCAACTCACGTTACATCAGCGGCCTGTGAAGATCATAGTTTCACCCTGGATATCCAGCCTCGGCCTCAATCATCTCACTTTACATCAGCGATCTATAAATATCATAGTTTCACCCTGGATATCCAGCCTAGGCCTCTATCAACTCACATTACATCAGCGGCCTGTGAAGATCATAGTTTCACCCTGGATATCCAGCCTCGGCCTCTATCATTTCACATTACATCAGCGGTCTGTAAATATCATAGTTTCACCCTGGATATCCAGCCTAGGCCTCTATCATCTCACATTACATCAACGGTCGGTGAAAATCATAGTTTCACCCTGGACATCCAGCCTAGGCCTCTATCATCTTACATTACATCAGCGATCTATAAATATCATAGTTTCACCCTGGATATCCAGCCTCGGCCTCTATCAACTCACGTTACATCAGCGGCCTGTGAAGATCATAGTTTCACCCTGGATATCCAGCCTCGGCCTCAATCATCTCACATTACATCAGCGATCTGTAAATATCATAGTTTCACCCTGGATATCCAGCCTAGGCCTCTATCAACTCACATTACATCAGCGGCCTGTGAAGATCATAGTTTCACCCTGGATATCCAGCCTCGGCCTCTATCATTTCACATTACATCAGCGGTCTGTAAATATCATAGTTTCACCCTGGATATCCAGCCTAGGCCTCTATCATCTCACATTACATCAGCGGTCGGTGAAAATCATAGTTTCACCCTGGACATCCAGCCTCGGCCTCTATCAACTCACGTTACATCAGCGGCCTGTGAAGATCATAGTTTCACCCTGGATATCCAGCCTGGGCCTCTATCATCTAACATTACATCAGCGGCCTGTGAAGATCATAGTTTCACCCTGGATATCCAGCCTAGGCCTCTATCATCTCACATTACATCAGCCGTCTCTTAAAATCATAGTTTCACCCTGGATATCCAGCCTAGGCCTACTTTGGAAGACCAAACACAGGTTGTGCTATCAGTAGTATTAACATAGGTTCGAAAATTCCTAGCAATTGTCTAAATTAAAAATGGTTTGAAATATGGACATTTCCTTTGACGAGAAAACATTTGTAAATCTGAAGGTTGTCTATCAGTTAGGATATCAATGACATTATTATTACCACAGCTGTTTAATATTATCGTCATTGAACTTTGTAGTGCCACTCTGTGTTTGGCCTGTCTGCTTACTTTGCATTGATTTGTAACACTTAGCTAATTTCATGGTAAAACTGTTAACTGTGAAGCACTTATTTGTTTGCAGTACACTGTACTGATTTGTAACACAGCTAATTTCATAGTAAAACTGTTAACTGTGAAGCACTTCGTTGTTTACAGTACACTGTACTGATTTGTCACACTTAGCTAATTTCATAGTACAACCGTTAACTGTGAAGCCCATCTTTGTTTGCAGTACCCTGTACTGATTTGTAAACCATATATAATTTTATAGCACAATTGTTAATTGTGTAGCACTTCATTGTTGTTTGTTTCAAACCTAAATCTTTTGCCTGTAGATTTCTGGGTTAATTCCAAAGTGGACACGAGACAGTATACACGTTGTTCTGCAAAACGCCACCTGTATCAAGATGGTCTCTTCATAAGCGAACCTGGGCCAGACAACCCGGTGATTAACATTATGACGAAGGATTCTGCTCATTGTAAGCGTCCAATCCCACTTAGTCCTGTCTTACGGCAAGTATACGGTATGGAGGTAATGAGGACCTGCTTGCACAAGAAACACCCGAATCCATGTCTTTCATGTAAGTGAGTGAGTGAGTAGTGTTTAACGCCGGATAGTATGTGACATATGCCAGGGCGTGTCAGCTCGAGGTGGGAAAGCTAGATGTGATGCCGGCCTGAGACGTTTATCACTTTGGTGAAACCTTCGGGTATAGTGCTGACAAACCTATAAACATGATACAGGCGAACAGAGATTCGAACCCTTGAACAAGGATTCTGGAGTGCCTAAGGGACAGAACCCCGCACAGCTAATTGTCCCGGACTGTCCCTTTTTTATGTGTATCTTTACGACAAATAACTATAACTGATATAACTAGCAGAATGTTCTTAGTACAATCGTGATTTTTATATGAACAACTTGTTATTTACGTGACCTAACCGGCATGTTACCTCAGTCACAGCCACGGGAAACAACAAGGTATTTCACAGTATTGCTTAGTACTAGAAGTTTACCTATACATGAAATCATCAAGAAATATTACGTATTTAGATATAGACATTATAAGTTGTTCACTGGTCTCGAGGGGGACATGGGCTGATGTACCCTCGATGTTTGTTTATGGTCCCTGAGTCCAAAGTGCGAGGGGAACATATAGAAACATTGAGGGTACTTCAACCCATGGGCCCCGAGGGAATAGTGAACAACGTATTTATCTTACCGGTGACCTCAAAGGTAATTTTGAACTGTTTGAAGCCCGGATATCGGATCATAGTATGGAGTACAAGACGACAAGAAAAACAAATTTAGAGTTATTTCCCTTCCATCGATTTGCATTCGCAAAAGATCGGTAATTTCAGTACGTCCTACGTGATTCAATGTTATTCGAGATAAAGAATTACTACTACGAAGTACCAAATGAGTTCGGCATTCCCAGCGGGGTACATAGAAAATGTCACTCGCTTGTAAGCTGAGTGCATAGAAAGTACTAGAATATCGCTCAGCCAATCGGAAAACGACATTTTTGTGCTAGGTAAGATAAATGTGTGTGTGTGTGTGTGTGTGTGTGTGTGTGTGTGTGTGTGTGTGTGTGTGTGTGTGTGTGTGTGTGTGTGTGTGTGTGTGTGTGTGTGTGTGTGTGTGAAGAAAGAGACATGTCAGGTACTGCTCTAACTTGTAGAGATATCTATCGTCTGTCGTGAAATGGAAACAGAATGTACTGTTTTTGAGTACATGCACACATGTAATATGAGAGGTTACCCGGAGTTATTTCTCTGTAGAAACTGGGTCATAGTTCCATAATAGGCTGCAACGTATGTGACGTTTTCTGAAAATGAACCAAAAAAACACATATGAAGGTAACGGGATACAATTTTTATAGGCCAAAAGCCATATTACACAAACACCGTAATATTTTTCAGAAGCATAAGAAATATTACTCGGATATGTTGTACTACCTCAATTTAATATGTTCGTATTGGCTCAGGTGGTATTGAATTTAAAGACGGGTGTTTTGAAACAACTCACGTGGGGCGAAAGAAAATAAGTAAACTTGACAAAATATAAGAAAACGTTTTTCACTGTCTGTGTAACTAATTTTATATAACTTGTGAATTGATGATCACTGGCAGTAGTCGGAAACGTTGTAATAAATGTAGATGAAGAAGGATCAAACTAACCTGAGGGGATTCTGAATGCGAACAAGGATAAGGGTATTATTGTTCTTCACACCAGGCACACAGTTCCAGAGCGCCCGGGGAAATTAATATGGGATTCCTATTAATTAATTCATGGGATGAAATTTCAGATAGGAGGAAACACAAAATGCGGACAGCCTAAGATTAATTTTATCTGACAGACATTCTTACAGTAGTGTCTTTATATTTCTCAAGCTCAAGAGCTTCCCGGGAGGGATATTCCAGAAATTTGGTCAATTCATAAGATATTTACTAACCTTCGGGATCATAGTTTTCCTGAGAAAGTCTTAAAGAACTCTTCACCCCCTCGAGGTTTCTTGTAGGAAAGTTGATGTCTTGCTCCTTAACCTTCGCAACCTCCATCACTTAAAAGAAATAACAAAATAATTGGAGAACATTTACAAAGAATACACAATGACATTTAGAAAGTGGTCAAATGTAATACATGTTATATTTGGGATTACACTTACTCAGAAATTACAGAATCTAGTACTTTTGATGGTCCCTTCCGGAATTCGAACCGACACCCTCAGAGTCAGGCACCTAATCCCCAGGACACAAAAGCCCCTGTGGAAGCCGCGGTGGCTGGGTGAGTCAGACGGTTGACATTCTGTGCTGGCGATTAGGTGCCTCAATACTAGAGTAGATATTGTGATTACTAATCAGTGAAACTAGAACTTGCATTTGACATTTGGGACAACATACATTCGAGACAACAACAGTTCCGACACAATCGATTCAACTTATCAGAGGTTATATACTGGTAAACATTCAAGTATTTCAACGGGACACAGAAATAATTTCGACAAAGCCGGGAATTCAAGTCATATATGAAAAGGACCTGATATTGATGTTCAAATGCATTTGTATAGCACAAAAGCATTGTGTTCAAATGAAATTCAGTTCATCCATTCACCAGAACATCACATAAATCATTAAAAAACGAAATATTTATCTTACAACTGGCTCACTGGGAAATCCAGACAACTGTTCGAACCCACAGTTTAAAATATGCATGCTAATCTGAGAATAATTGTACGACGATGTATTCTTAATGTCCCACAACCAACACACAACTTTAACATTCATATAAAGTCATTGCGGTTATTCCCAGCCTTCGGATTTCAGTGTCGTTGTATTGATGGTTGCAAATCGAATTCATCAAGAAAGTACCTACCCATGGTTGAACTGTTTATAGTCAGAGGTTCGTTCACCGTCTGTGATGCTGCAGCAGCCAACCCAAAGGACGTCACTGCTCTCATCAAAGACGACGCCTTTGTTGCATTCTTCAAGGAAAAAGGATTTTGTATGCTCCATTAATATTAGGCCTATATATAATTTGTTTCTAAGTTTGAGAATATGTCCAAAAACAAAGGAAAGTATACGCGTGGATAACATGTATATACCAATATTGCATCGGAGGTCTGCTTCTGAATTCAAATGAATGTTTGATGTCGATATAATACAACAGCGACAAAAGTTCTTCATGTTACTAGAGCCCTCATCTTCTTCCTACAGGTCACCTCCGCCAGCATGGGTGGGATCCATAGCGAAACTGCATTCACTAGTTTCACTCGTTCACGTGGCTATTACATTACACAACTTTCACGCGACACTGTGTTCAATGTGCATACGAGATACTCCCAATAAGAGTTGTTTGTACGAGGCCCTTCCTTATAATAAACGATATCCCCTTTTCGTAAGCATTACCATTACTATATCGTTGACGATACTTATATCATTAGCACCTGTTTATTTATCACTATGAAAAAAGATATACTCACGCTTTTCTGAACTTGCTGCCAGTCCTCTTTACTGGTATCAACAGACAGGATGTTGTCAACCACATTAACAAAGGACTGAAAGTAGAAATTATTGACACAAGTTATATACATCATGCTTCTTTAACAGACCTGGAGCGTCAATACAGTTTGTTAACTGTTAAATCGAGAAGCACTGATGTTCCTAGCAGTTTTGTTTTTTCCCGATCAATTGTGGATTTTTTCAGCACAGGAAATGCTCAATGAATTCATCCAACGTAACGATGCATATAGGTATTCAAAGTATTTAAAGTAGTCATTGTGGTTAGGTTTACTTGTTTACGTTTCAAGTTTACTTGTATTTTGTTACTTTGATAAAATTTGTTTTACTGTTAACTCGGTCTTAAGCTAGGACAATGGTGTCGTATAATCGGCTATAAACATATACCTTCTGGGTTCGAATCCCAGTTTTTATTCCTGGTTTGTCTGCACCATACACCTTGACGGTGGGTTTAACTAAAGGCAAACTTGTGATGCAAGTGAAAAGACTCCAAAACGAGTTTATCAAATGATTATGAAGTTTGTGGGAGCAGAAACCAAACGGAATGACGGAATATATTTTCGTATGCGTATTTTTTCATTCTGTGAGAAAGCATTGGCAAGTGACAATATTGTAACAGTGTCCAAAGACATTACAACATCTCTTCAGGTTTATCAGAAACAGATAGACACTAAGTGTGTCCGCTGGAGACCTTTATTTGGTAAACACATTCCTGTAACAAGATGGAATCATTTCTATCAATATGTGCACATACTAACGTCAGTGCCCACTTCCGACGTGTGTGTCAGACTGAACATTGTTAAACGTTTCTGTCCTACTAGATGTTTGGCGAGCTTGCTTAGATGAAATATGTAGATAGTTGAACACACGAGGAAGTGTTAACACTCGGAAGTCCATGGGTGGAACAACATGTAGATACAGAGAACAAGGATATGTTTAACACTGGCTTGCGATAGGATCAACCCACCTCCTGTTGACATGTGAAAAACCCCGGGATCCTCAACAGAGTACGCCCACCAGCAGATTTTCTGAATTTCTTATCAGCTACATCTATATTTACAAGGGTGCTCTAACACTAAGGGGGCGGTGGGGTAGCCTAGTGGTTAAAGCGTTGGCTCGTCACGCCGAAGACCCGGGTTCGAATCCCCACGTGGGTACAATGTGTGAAGCCCATTTCTGGTGTCTCCCGCCGTGATGTTGCTGGAATATTGCTAAAAGCGGCGTAAAACCAAACTCAGTCAGTCAGTCAGTCTAAAACTAAGATTAAAATAGGATACACTTTTAATAGTGAATACAGCTCACCCCTACTAAGGTACCCTAGATTGTATTGCGAGGATATAACAATTAAAGAACCTTATACTTTAAAACCAAGGTACCCTGCAGTTAATTGAGAAAGTACCATATACTTTACTGCCAAGGTACCAAACACATCACTATCGAGGTACCCTACACGTTTCTACCAAGGTGTCCTACACCTTAATACCAAGGTACTCTAAACCTTACTATTAAGGTACCCTCCATGGTCCCTACTATGGCGATCTATCTTCAGTTGTTTGCGATCTATAGCTCGTATTTTATATTGCATTGTCCGAAATAGTCACATAATCTTAAAGTTAAACATGATCTATTGTTGATGAATTATCTATTTTAATCACGATATGGCTGAAATATTGCCCATGTGACTATACATATTAACTCACGCACCCACTCACTACCAAGGTACCCTACACCTTACTGTCCAGATACCTACACCCTACTAGCAAGGTACCTTACACCTTACTAGCAAGATACCTACACCTTACTAGCAAGTTTGCCTAATCTAGGCACTCAAATTCTTACAACAGTACCCAGCATTTTACAAGCAGGTACCCAATATTTTACAACTTAAGTACCCAACATCTCACTACCATGGCAACACACAATTACTTATCAATGAAGTATCTTACTCTCTTAGCAACAAGACAAACACTTTTTTACAAGATGTTACATTACTTCCTATCCTTTATTGATAAAGTACCTTACAGTTTTACTAACTCAGTAGCATTGTCTATTCAGCAACAAGCTGACCTCTAGTTTACCAGTGTCATAAACATTTACTATGAAGGTACCCTACATCCTCCTACAAAGGTTCCCGATACTTACACTATTTTACACTATTTTACTTTTACTATTACTGATGCAATATTCTTCATCCTAACAAACAAGGTACCACAAATCTTACAACATTCACCTTCATTAACAAGGGATCCTGACACTGATCATCACTGTTTTCAGTGATACACTAATAGAATTTTCACCGCCATCTTGCCTAATACCTCCTTTTTACTGCAAAAAATCGAGAAGTGTTGCTCGCTGGCGTTACCGCTGTGAATTTCCAATCAAGGTAGCCTGCATCCTCTATAACAAAGTCGTGTGTAAACAAGCCAGCCAGGTATGTGATGATATAGATACATATATGTAAGTGTATGAATACCTGTACGTATAGATACAGATGTTACAGATTCCTCTGTGCACACATACCTGTGCTGTATCAGTGTCCACTACAATTGGTAAAGCTGATTTGCTCACTGCACTGACCAGCGTGTCCACAAGATCAATGGATTTGTCCAGATCTCCTGCAGAGGAGTCGTTGACCTTGGTAACCTCCTGTAGCTTCCCCAGCACATTCTTGACAGCTTCACTGGACGCAACTCCTTCGCTGATCGAAGCTACCTAAACACAAGAGGTACAAAAATTTACCACTGGTGTGTTTGTATTCTTGAACGGTTACAGTAAATATCGACGAATGGACAAATATTGCGTATTATCAAAGAGTTCTTTGTTTAGCTAATCTCTACCCTTTATCAGTGATCGCAGATATCTAAATGCAAGCGTTAGACAGACTGGCTATTGACGTTTCCTTTTAATATTCCGTTACCATTCCTTTGAAAAGAATTAATCGATCGATGTGTATTTTAGCAAAGGTGTGGTGCTTCATTAATCTCAACCGTCATCAGTGATTGCAGCTGTCTGAGAATGTTTATGTTTTATTTGTTTGTTGTTAAACGCACTCTGCTATATTGCGCCGGTCTGTAAATATTGGGGTCTGGACCAGACAATCCGCTGATCGACATCATGAGCATCGATCTACGCAAATGTTATACGATAACATGTGTCCACCCGACACCCGATCCCGTTAGTCACCTCTTACGACCAGTATGGGTTCCCGAAGGCCAATTGTAACCCGGAATTTACCGGGATGGACAAGAATGAGTTGCAGAAGACCAGATGCAACCCTGATCTTCACGGGTTATCTGAGAATATCATTGATCGACACATAACTGTCACGTCATACCTGCTACACTTGCATCAAAGACGTAGTGTGAATTTTACTGACCTCTTCCTCTAATTGGGCTATCTCTTCCCTCACGCAGGTTATGTAGTTCAGTTCTTCCCACTCACCGGTGATGTCACAAACACGTCGAACGTTACCTTCAAGATTAAATAGGTCACTGCACAAACAATGTTATCTAATTGTGTGTATTGTCCATAACAGATGGTTAGTTGTGACCTGCTGTTTGTTGGTCATCGTGACCCGACGGATCGTCGTTCACACTCTCAACCAGTCGGTTTCCTGGCCGAAGTGTCGTATAAAATGGAGGCATTTTGTATAGACAGTATAGCATAATCCTACGTCAGTTTAGTTGTTAGACTTTGATCCTATTACTTTCGTAAACTTTTGAAAACATTTAATAAGTTTCTTAAGTATTCATTGTTCTTTGTGTATTGACAATTTAGGTCATGTTATGATCACTTATTACGAACGAAACCTCTATAAATAATAATAAAGTTCATATTTGTAGTGCGCCTAATTCCAAAATTTGCTCAAAGGCGCAGGTCATAGGCTCGTTGAAACAGAAGGGTCTTCAGTTCACTTTGAAATATGTCACAGTCTTTGATTCGTTGGGAGTTCATTCCAGGGTGCAGGGCCTGCTTGGGCAAAACTCTTGTCACCGTAGAGTGTTGTTCTTGTTTTGGGGACATTTAGTTGTTGAAGTGAAGCTGACCGCAGCGTTCTCTGAGGTTGGTGTCTGGTTAAAAGCTGTTTCAGATACAGAGGGCTAGACCGTGAAGAGCTTTAAACACGAACATCAGTAATTTGTAACACTCCGATGGTGAATTGGAAGCCAGTGTAGGTCGTAAAGATTGGCGTAATATGCTCGTGTATGCGTGTTCCACTTACCAATCTTGCCGCTGAGTTCTGTACCTTCTGAAGTTTGCTCAGGCATAGCTGGTTCGACCCATACAGTTATCCTGCCGAGATGTCACAAAAGCACGGATAAGTGTCTTGGTTGCCGCAATGCCTACATACCGCTTGATTTGACTGATATTTTGCAGGCGGTAGTAAGCAACCTTGCATACTGCATTCGTGTGATGTTCAGACTCTAGCCTAAAACATGAAACCTAAGTTTCTGGCTTGAACAGATGGCCTCATAACACATTCTCAAATGTGAAGGGGATGTTGTTGACATCTTGGAGAGCATTTGTCTGAAACTGATGATCATGAGTTCCGTTTGGTCATCATTGAGTTTCAGAAAATGGGTCGACATCCATAGCTTGATATCCTGTATGCATGGTGACATGCAATCAAAGGCGTTCGTCACTGATGTTGACACCAGTGGTCTAAAGCCGAGATACAACTGTGTATCATCCGCATATATGTGAAAGGATAGGTCATGTCTTCTGTCTATTTCTCCAAGAGGAAGGGTATAGATTGTGAACAATACGGGCCCGAGGAATGATAACTGAAGAACTCCATATTTAAGGTGATGCTTACTCGATCCTGAGCCATTGATGACAAGTACTACACCTATAACGACCTACACCTATAACAAATTACGCCTATAACGAACTACACCGATAACGAACTACGCCTTTAAGGAACTACGCCTATAATTAACTACGCCTATTGTAACGAACTACACCTATAACGAACTACACTTATAACGTACTACGCCTATAACGAACTACACCTATAACGAACTACGCCTATAACGAACTACACCTATAACAAATTACACCTAAAACATAATACACCTATAACGAACTACGCCTATAACGTACTATCCCTATAACGAACTACACCTATAACGAACTACGCCTAAAACGAACTACACCTATAACGTACTCCGCCTATAACGAACTACACATATAACGTACTACGCCTATGACGAACTACGCCTATAGCGTACAACGCCTATAACGAACTACACCTATAATGTACAACGCCTTTAACGAACTAAACCTATAACGAACTACACCTATAACGTACTACGCCTATACCGAACTACACCTATAAGGCACTACGTCTATAACGAACTACACCTAAAACGTACTACGCCTATAACGAACTACACCTATAAGGCACAACGTCTATAACGAACTACACCTATAACGAACTACACCTATAACGTAATACACCTATAACGAACTACGTCTATAACGAACTACACCTCTAACGTAATACACCTATAACGAACTACGCCTATAACAAAGTACACCTATAACGTAATACACCTATAACGTACAACGCCTTTAACGAACTAGACCTATAACGAACTACACCTCTAACGTAATACACCTATAACGAATAACGCCTTCAACGAACTACACCTATAACGTAATACACCTATAACGAACTACGCCTATAACGAACTACACCTATAACGAAATACACCTATAACGTAATACACCTATAACGAACTACGCCTATAACGAACTACACCTATAACGTACTACACCTATAACGAACTACACCTATAACGTACTACACCTCTAACGAACTACACCTATAACGAACTACACATATAACAAAATACACCTATAACGTACTACACCTATAACGAACTATGCGTATAACGAACTACACCTATAGCGTATTACACCTATAACGAACTACGCCTATAACGTCCTACGCCTATTACGTATTGCAATTATAACGTACTACGCCTATAACGTACTACGCTTATAACGTTCTCCGCCTATAAGGAACAACGCCTATATCGAACTACGACCATAACGTACTACGTCTATAACGTACTACGCCTATAATGAACTATGCCTATAACGAACTACGCCCACAACGAACCACGACTATTACGTACTCCGCCCATAAGAATCTACGACTATAACGCTTTCCGAGTATAACGAACTACGCCTATAATGAACTATGCCTATAACGAACTACGCCCACAACGTACAACGACTATAACGAAGTTTGCCTATAACGTACTACGCCTATAACGTCCAACGCCTATAACGAAATACGCCAATAACAAATTACGCCCATAACGAACTACGACTGTAACGAACTACGCCTATAATGAACTACGCCTATAACGAACTATGCCTATAACGTAATACACCTATAATGTACTACGACTATAACGTACTACGCCTATAACGAACTATCAATATAACGAACTACACCTATAACGTACTACGCCTATAACGTACTACACCTATAACGAACTACGCCTATAACGAACTACGCCCATAACGAACAACGCCTACAACGAACTACGCCTATAATGAACAACGCCTATAACGAACTATGCCTATAACGTAATACACCTATAATGAACTACTCCTATAACGAACTACGCCGATAACGTACTACGCCTATAACGTACTCCGCCTATAACGAACTACACCTATAACGTACAACGCCTTTAACGAACTAGACCTATAACGAACTACACCTATAACGTACTACGCCTATAACGAACTACACCTATAAGGCACTACGTCTATAACGAACTACACCTATAACGTACAACGCCTATAACGAACTACACCTATAAGGCACAACGTCTATAACGAACTACACCTATAACGAACTACACCTATAACGTAATACACCTATAACGAACTACGCCTACAACGAACTACGCCTATAATGAACAACGCCTATAACGAACTATGCCTATAACGTAATACACCTATAATGAACTACGCCTATAACGAACTACGCCGATAACGTACTACGCCTATAACGTACTCCGCCTATAACGAACTACTATTTTAACATGTTATGCCTATAACGTACTGCGCTCATAACGAACAACGCCTATAACGTACTCCGCCTATAACGAACTACACCTATAACAAATTACACCTAAAACATAATACACCTATAACGAACTACGCCTATAACGTACTATCCCTATAACGAACTAAACCTATAACGAACTACGCCTAAAACGAACTACACCTATAACGTACTCCGCCTATAACGAACTACACCTATAACGTACAACGCCTTTAACGAACTAGACCTATAACGAACTACACCTATAACGTACAACGCCTATAACGAACTACACCTATAACGTACGCCTATAACGAACTACACCTATAACGAACTACGTCTATAACCTATATAACGAACTACACCTATAACGTACTAGACCTATAACGAACTACACCTATAACTACGCCTATAACTACTGGACCTATAACGAACTACACCCATAACGTACAACGCCTATAACGAACTACACCTATAAGGCACTACGTCTATAACGAACTACACCTATAACGTACAACGCCTATAACGAACTACACCTATAAGGCACTACGTCTATAACGAACTACACCTATAACGAACTACACCTATAACGTAATACACCTATAACGAACTACGTCTATAACGAACTACACCTATAACGAACTACACCTCTAACGTAATACACCTATAACGAACTACTCGTATAACAAAGTACACCTATAACGTAATACAACTATAACGTACAACGCCTTTAACGAACTAGACCTATAACAATTATACCTCTAACGTAATACACCTATAACGAATAACGCCTTCAACGAACTACACCTATAACGTAATACACCTATAACGAACTACGCCTATAACGAACTACACCTATAACGAAATACACCTATAACGTAATACACCTATAACGAACTACGCCTATAACGAACTACACCTCTAACATACTACACTTATAACGAACTACACCTATAACGTACTACACCTCTAACGAACTACACCTATAACGAACTACACATATAACAAAATACACCTATAGCGTACTACACCTATAACGAACTACGCCTATAACGTACTACGCCTTTAACGAACTACGACTATAACGTACTCCGCCTATTACGTATTGCAATTATAACGTACTACGCCTATAACGTACTACGCTTATAACGTTCTTCGCCTATAAGGAACAACGCCTATATCGAACTACGACCATAACGTACTACGCCTATAATGAACTATGCCTATAACGAACTACGCCCACAACGAACTACGACTATTACGTACTCCGCCCATAAGAATCTACGACTATAACGTATTCCGAGTATAACGAACTACGCCTATAATGAACTATGCCTATAACGAACTACGCCCACAACGTACAACGCCTATAACGAAGTTTGCCTATAACGTACTACGCCTA